GGATTGCCTTCCGCGCGGGCCGACGTGGAAGGCAAGCGGCAAGCCAGCCCTTCAAACTCATGCTGGCACTTTAGCATGCCCCTTGGCCGCCATTCAGCGCAACATCTTTCGCTGAATGGCGGGCGAGTTCTAACCTGCCGGCATGACTTTGAAAGGGCTGGATTGCCTTCCGCGCGGGCCGACGTGGAAGGCAAGCGGCAAGCCAACACTTCAAAGTCGTGCCGGCAGGCAGGGCTGGAGCGAGCGAGCGAGCGTGCTCCGTCCCGGTGGGTGCATGAGCAGAGCACTTTTCCAGCGCTCCTGTGCCTGGAGAGCAGCTCCCTCTGCATATGAGCCCGGGATCCGCCGTTTGCGCTCCCTTGCTCTGCCTCGCCACCCGCCTTCCCTATCTAGGGACTCCTCCAGCAGAAATAGCAGAGTCGCGTCGAGCGCCCGAGTGTTGACTGTTGAATGAAAGTTGTGTTTTATTATTTTTCTTTTGTTCACATTTTGTTTTGTCTTTTGATACTGCACCCCCTTCCCTGTGATTGTAAGCCGCCCTGAGTCCCCTCAGGGAAAAGGGTGGCCTATAAATCTTAATAAAATGCTAAAAAAAAAAAAAAAGCTAAATTTTGACGTAAACACTTGAATAGCGTTCAATACATTTTTTTAAAAAACATGATTTGGTGCTGTGATATAGAGAATGTGAGAAACTGGCTAAGAAATGTTGTTTATCCTCACAGAAAATGTATTGTTGCATTATGTGTGCATTCAACAGAGAGGTCTGGTCTATCCTGACTTCCTTCCCACATATACTTCCAAGATATTCATTTTTATCGAAGAACATTTGCTAATTGTTATTCACTTTAAAATTTTATATGAACATATACAAAACATGATGTATAAAGTTGCATTAGAATTATTCCTTATATTTTCTTTTTCAAGTAAAAGGCATGATTAGAATAAATAAAAATTATAATTCAGCAAGACAGATACAGTACTCTGATTCCTCTTCAGGTTCCCTCAAGTCAGTTCCTGCTAGAATGCTGTAGTTCAATTGTTATAATTCAGCAGGATGAGGGATGATAGTAGTTGACATTCAACACAATTAGAATTCACAAAATTGAAGAAAGCTGCTTATAAATTTCCTAGTTATGTAAAAACAGTTTATAATTTTATAATAAAATGGGATCCACTTTCCTTACTGCAACTAAATGTAATGGTTTTATTTTATCTCCAGTGCACAATAAACTGCGTTTAAAGATGATAGAAGAACTAAATGATGGTGTGAGAAAACCTTATACTTTTTTTTTTTTTACAAATTCTGGGGAAATGGTGAAGTGCCAGGTGGCTGAATGTGTGCAAATGTTGATTCTCTGTTCAAATGGGAAAATCCACCAAACTGCAAACCAAGAAGTTTCATCAATATGTGGGAAGATTTTAGACCAGGTCACAAAGCAAGCCTTGAAAGTAAAGTGATAATTATGAGAAATGTGTTAGAACAAATCTTGCTTAATTAATTTCATCTCATTTGTTTATTTGATACATTCTTTAATAATTTGAATATATAGGCAGGGAGATATCTTAATTGGTAGTGGTACTTGTGAAGATGATAGTAGACTGCTAACTGTATATAATCCAACATATATAGTTTTATTGCAAAACAGCAAATACAATTAATAAGCTGAGCTACAAAAATATAACTTCCAAATCAAGACAATTAATTGTGCCACTTTATTAGGCTTTTTCAGACCCACATAGATTATAATGTTGTGTTCAGAGATATCGGAGCATACTCAGAGAAGAGCAACAAAGATGATCAAATAACTAGAAATTAGATCCTATGAACATAAATCAGAGAAGCTGGATATGTTTAACCTTGAGAAAAAAGAATGATTGAGAGGGGAAAATAATTGCTCTTTTCAAAGTGAACATTAGAAAAATAGTAAGAACAGTTTGACAGTGGAACACCCGTTTGGAGAAGTGGCAGGGTCTCCTTAATTGGATGGATTCAACTGCTAATAACTAGTCTGTACTTCTACATTTATAGTGAGGCAAGAAGCTTAAGTAAAAAGACAAGAACCACACATCAACTCAATTTAACTATTCTGTTTCTTAACAAATACAAAAGTTATGGCCTCTGCTAAATTTGTCCCTTCTCCCTCTTTCATTCAGTATTTGGATACTCCATTTTGCTTTCTTCTACAGAAGCTTCATCTTTCAGTTGCTGCCGAGCAAACTCCTCAAACACCAGGTCATCTTGGCCACTAACGAAAAGATAAGGACTCTTTGAATATTACACTTTCCTAATATTTGATATTAGGAAACTCATTATTTTCTTTTTGCCATGTTTAAATGTATAATTTGTCTATTCCAGGAAGTGGAAGTTCTGCAAAAATGCTGTGGAGAGAGAGAAAAGAAAGGAAACAAAAAAGGAAGGAAAAGAAGGAAAGAAAGAAAGACAGACAGACAGAAGGAAAGAAAGAAAAGAAAAGAAAGTGGTTTCCTGTAGTTTCTTATACACTGCAGTTTGGCTTCCAGATTTTATGTGATAATATTTTGGCCAGGGTGATTAGCTGTAAAGGAGTAAAGATTTTCATCCCAGAAATGCTCTGGGATCCTTCAATAATAAGGAAGGCTGTATAAACTATATTATAGGTATTATGTCTGCAGCTTTATTCCTCACTAGCATTCATCTCCATTGTTCTGTGATGCATTTTCTGCCACTCTAGGATTTACCTTTATCTGTTCCTGTGAGGTACTTCCTGTTCCTGTTGGATATACATACATACATACATACATACATACACACACACACACATACATACACACACACACATACATACATACATACATCATACATACATAATCACACACACATACACACACACACTCTCTCAATGATGGCTTGTATAGTCTGTTAACTGCTTTTTGATTAAATTACTTGAAACATGGTGTCACTTTGCACTACTGAAAGACTGGTCATCTGAAAGTACCCAGAGTGAGCTATTGATCACTGATGTTGGAGAGAAATCTGCAACAGAAGTCAAATTTGTTGTTTCATTCAACTGAATCCAGAGTTGAAAGGTATAAAAATAATAATCAAATACTCAGTTTCTTTGATCATGGATCCCACATAGAGAGGCCCTTTGATGCATTGTTCCAATAAGAGACTTGGTTGATTAAGGCTTAATCCATTCTTTGTGATCTACAGCTCTTTCTATCCAACACTCAATGGCCACAGTTCATTTTGGTTTTGCTTGGACTGACATGGATGCCCAGAAAGACAAAAATCTTGTTTGTCTATTCAATGACTTAGATAGATATATAACAATGAAAGGTAGTTTGACAGTTGGCTTTTTGAAATAAATTTACCTTAAGATTGGCAATGGTTATCAAGTTTTATGCATATAGTTTTTGCACTAGGTTCTGTGAGGTGCATTTTGAGAACTGCTGAGTATACATTTTTTGACATCCTATTCGATGAAGCAATAGACCTACAGATTGTCCTCAACTTATGGCCATAATTGGGACCAGACTTTATGTTGATAAGCAAAGTAGTTGTTAAATGATCCACACCCAATTTTATGACCTTTTTTGTTACATTTGTTAAGCAAATCACTGTAATTGTTAAGTGAATCATCTGGCTTCCCCCATTGACTTTGCTTGTTGGAGCTGGCTGAAGGCCAACATTTATGTCATGTCATGTTATTTTACATTTTTTGGGGAAATTCCACTAAACTCAGAGAAATTCCATTCTGAAATTTGTATCTGAAAAAATTAAGTCCCCACTCTTCTTCATCACAGATAATACAGAAAGTTCTGTCCTGCAGGATACAGAATTATCAGCTTCATGTGAATACTTAAGAGCAGAATAGGAAGAGAAAACTAATGAAATAATTCTTACCTTTCCTTTTCTGTAATCACATTGAAAAAAAGAAAAAGGGAGAGGCTTAGCTAAACATGCTTCTACAAATATCTGAAGTTAAGAACAAAAACGTAAAGAAGTGCCAATATGAGTGAGAAGAAGGTTGCAATACAACCAAAGAAATGAACTAGCAATTTATTCTGAGTCCCAGAGACACCTGGTGATTTCCTATTATGTGACTGATATATTACCGGGATGGTCTCACAGTAACAGCCAGAATTCAACATTACTGGAACGTGGAGTTCTTTTTAGTTAGTCACCACTGTTCATTTAAACAAGCTGATCACAGCAGGAGTCTCTTTGGAGTTCTTAAAGCCAGCAAATCAACTGCCAGGTAAAGCTAGGCAGGAAGTAAAAAGCATAGTACATCCATTTGTGTGTTTTTGACTCAGTAAATTGTCTTTAAAACATCAAGAAACTGACATTTTGCACAGACTTAAGTACATTCAACTATCTGTTGCAGTCAAAATGCTTCTATCTTGGAAATGGGGGGGGGGGCATTATGAAGTCTAAAAATATCAGGTCCTTGCTGCCACTCTTTGGTTTAATTTAGAGATGTCCTAATAAAGAAAGTGTGGTTGAAAATGCAAATAGTGTTTGCTTTTTCAGTAATTTCTGTGGAAGATTCTGTGAAAGAGGATGCTTGCTTTAAAAAAAACATCTTGCAGCCAGTTAATTTTATAATAAGGTTATTTTTAACTCCCATAACTTTAATAAGAGTATAATATACATTAAGTAAACATACTATATGTCAAATTTTCCATTGTTTATCTTCATGCCTTCAAGTCTCAAAGCTTGAACTAACACATTGTCACCAATCACAGTAAATAACCAACTCTTCCTTTTAACATATCTAGGTCTTTGTTATTGTTAATATTATTATTTTTAGTGTAATTTCATACTAGCAAATGCACACTGCCCTCAAAACTTGTAAGAAGCATTCACTGCGGTATTATATAAAAATGAGCAAGACTGCGTGTGTTCACTAAATTTATAGACAATCCTAACAGCTAAGCTTGCTGCATAAGAATTAAAAAAGAAATCATACTGAATTCATTAAGGGTAAATTACAGAAAGTATGTTTTATTAATTCATCTATATTTCCTATTTCTAAATTCCCCATCTCCCTCAGGGACAGTCCCTGTTTCTAAATATATGATATTTATATTTAAATATTTCATTATCTTTTTATAGCTATAAAATATAGCTGCTCTAAAGATGGCAATTGAATCAGTTTTTATTATTATTATTATTATACAATTGTATCACAGCGGCCAGTTGTTTCGCCGGATTTGGCATTGGTTACTAGTCGGGCCCCACCCATGGGCCTAGGACGTCGTAACGTATTTTCGTAATATGCGTGCAGATCCAAGCAGTGCGGCTTTTTGCATTTGACTGATGGTGATTTTGTCAATTTTTAACTGTTTTAAATGTAATTCCAGTGCTTTTGGAATAGCACCCAGTGTGCCAATTACCACTGGAATTACCACTGCTGGTTTGTGCCATAGTCGTTGAATTTCGATTTTTAAGTCCTGGTATTTTGCAATATTTTCATGTTCCTTCTCGGGGATCCTGCTATCACCTGGTATTGCGATGTCTATGATTGTGACCTTATTTTTCTCAACCAGTGTGATGTCTGGTGTATTATGCGCCAGTATTTTATCCATTTGTATACGGAAATCCCACAAGATCTTGACCATCTGATTTTCGGCGACTTTTTCAGGCTGATGTTCCCACCAGTTTGTTGCTGTTTTAATATAATAATTTTTGCACAAATTCCAATGGATCATTTGTGCTACTGAATTGTGCCGCAATTTATAATCAGTCTGCGTGATTTTTTTACAGCAGCTGAGTATGTGATCAACAGTTTCATCAGCTTCTTTGCAAAGTCTGCATTTGGCATCATCAGAGGATTTTTCGATTATTAATGGCATTTGTGCGGATAGCTTGTTCTTGCGCAGCCAGCATTAGTGACTCTGTTTCTTTCTTTAATGTACCTGTTGTTAACCATAACCAAGTTTGTTCACTGTTCACTTTATCTTTAATTTTTTCCATGCAAAAAAATTGGCCATGCAATGCTTTGTTCTACCAACTCTCCATTCTTGATTTTATCACATCTTTTCTGTATTCCTGTTTCGTTTGTTGGACCTTCAATAGATTTTTGTTCTTTAGTTCGATTAATAGATGTTCTTGACTTTCTTTTAAATTATCAGCCAGTGCATGTTTTTCTTCTTCAACTGTTTGCTTCACTTGTAACAATCCTCTGCCATCTGATTTTCGGGGCAGGTACAGTCTATCAGTATCACCACGTAGATGTAAAATGTAATGCATTGTCATTAGTTTCCTGGTTTTTCGTTCCAAAATGTCCAAATCACCTTGTGTCCAGTTAACTATACCTGCTGTGTATCTTATAACTGGTATTGCCCAGGTATTTATGGCCTTGATTGTATTTCCACCATTCAATTTAGATTTCAAAATTTTCCTAACTCTGTTGGTGTACTCTCCCCTGACAATAGTTTTTATTTCTCCATGCTTGATGTTACCCAAATGCAGAATGCCTAAGTATTTGTAGACTTCATTTCCGCTGCATTTAATTAGTTGGCCATTGGGCATTTAAATTCCCTCACATGTAGTGATTTTGCCCCTTTTTATGGATACAGTGGCGCATTTTTCCATGCCAAACTGCATTGAAATATCGGTGCTGAATACTCGGACTGTGTTTGTCAGTGATTGGATTTCTATTCCTGACTTTCCATAGAGTTTAAAATCATCCATATATAATAAATGAGAAATTTTTTCAGCTTCTTTGGCTGTTTGGTAGCCTAATTTCATTTTTTAAAGATTACATTATGATGATGATGATGATGATGATGATGATGATGATATTATTATTATTATTATTATTATTATTATTTAGTGGTAGTACTATTATTACTATTACTATTATTATTTTCCATAATATTATTAATTATGGGAAATAATTTTAATGGGAAATATATGAAGGATAAGTATTTCAAAGATCCATGTACAATGGAAGTTTTAATTTCACCAGAACCATAGATAGAGAAGGCCCATGAGTGACCCCGTATTTAGGGGATGAGGCGGCAGAATGATGGCATATATGTCATGAATATACCCAAATTAATCAAATTATACAGGTTCCAGAAAACACTGGAAGGGTAAATAAAGAGAATCCAAAATAAATTTGTTTTTTCTTGTCAAAGGGAAAAATCTACATTTCAACAGAAAAAGAAGGCTATCACATCACCAAAGTATCATCACCAATAAGAGGAAAATAAAACAAGAGCAGGAAATAACCACTTATATGCTACCGACCTGCTATATTGGTCTTGTCTTGCATGGGGTGCATCAGACGGAAGGGCAACTCCATGCTCACATCACTTTCGAAACAAGAAAAAAGAGAAGTGATTCAGGATTTCACTGTTCCAAAGCAAAATCTGATCATTTCTTATACACCATTCCTAAATATTTTCTGCTAATTTTTTCACCAGTATTTGAAAAAGTAAACTAGATTACTGTACTGTAGATTGGAAGTAATCAGAACCCAAATAAGTAAACCTAATTTTTTTTTAGTATCATAGCTGCCTAAGATTTTAAGTTAGAATTATTATAATTGTAGCCTAGAATATGTGAAATAGGCCCCTTTTGGATTTATTTTTTAATTTTTAAATCACAGATGAAACCCTGAAGCTGAAAAATGCGAAAACATGGAAATGTTTCACAGAACATTTGTCTTTTAAATAGTATGCCTTGTCAGTCACCTAGTTAACTAGGTAGCTTATATATTAGTGTTTAAAAAACAGATAAAAATAGAAATAGCAAACTTAGAAACAAAGTACCTACTACACATCAGGGAGAAGGAAGTAAACTCTGACATATTTCAAACAATTAAAAAAAAAAAACATCAGGGAACAGGTTATAGAAGCCTAGCAGTGGGAGGGAGCAGAAGTTTTATTTCCCCAAAAATCTGAAAATATAAATGGATGTTGCAGGAGAGAATAATGTTTACAAAGAGGAAATTTCAAAGATTTACCTGGAAGTGAAATCTCCCAGCAGGCTAAAATATAAACAACATTAACTGTACAATGAAACTTACTATATTCCATAGCACACATTCTTAAGCTCAGAAAGCACCAAGAACTCCACAGTTCAATTCAGAGCTATGCATCGTCTTATCATATTCTGAAACTGGTCAGGGTTATTAAAAGCCGTATATGCAACCTCAAATGGTGAATTGTTTTTGGAACAATCCAACATTTTCACAATTCAGGTGTTTTTCATTATATTTAGATACATATTCCATCCTCTTTTACAATGCAAGGCACATACGAAGTACATTTTCCATTTAATCTCACAATCTCATTTTTATGAATAGGCTATAAAGAAATACTGAATGACCCCAATCATCTAACTGCTAGATGCTGGTGATTCTGTGTCGCTTTGGTCTTACTTCAGTACCTGATCCATTATACCATGTATTGGCCACCATATTTGAAATACCTAAAATCACAATTTAAAGACATCCGGGGACCATCCTATGAGACTGCAGATTTGTGTACTAACTCTTTCTAATAAATGATCATGCAAGTATACTAAAACTATTTAATCTGGCTTCACAAAACATATTGCTTTAAATAATAGTATCCAGACAAATTTAGAGCAACCAGTGACATTCTATACAGTTGTTCCTTGGTACTCGAATGCTTCAAAACTCATCAAATTGGTACTTGACACATTTTGACATAAAAAATTGTTCTGGTACTTGTTGTTTGCTTGGTACTTGACATGCTGTGATAGGAAAAGGGAGACAGCTGCAAAGAATGGACAGGAGGTCAACCATGATGGGAAGGTTACTGACATAAGAAAAGGGATAGATATGAAGTGCTTCCCAGCTGAAACAAAAGGTCATGTAGTAAGTCACGTGGTTTGGGTTGCACTTGTTATTTTTAGTACTTGTTGCACGTCCTGGAATCAATTAACAAGGATCAAGGAGCCACTGTAATGTATTGAATTTGAAAAGGCTATTTAAAATTGCTTATGCAATTTATCTTTATTTCATAAAAGGCAATAACATAAAAATGCTTATAATTATAGCATACCAACTCTGATTGCTCTTACCCTGAGACAGTAAGCTTCACCTTGATCTTGTAAGCAACCAGGATTCCTAGAACTGTCCGGTCCATTCCATCTTTTATACTGTAGGGATTTTTAAAAAAATCTGTGTCATTGCACATTTGCTAAAAATAATGTAGTTGCCTAGTATAGTGTCTCAAGTATTATAACATATTCTCATATCCCATATCAATATTTCTACATTTTTAGGAACTCATTCTAGACACACAGTTGCATTTACTGCTTAACACAGCATTCACTGCTGTGCGGCTTTTGGATTTGTTTGAAATAAAAATTATCTATTTACTAAATCCATATGTCTATAAAACTATTCATATTGTAATATTAGCAGAAAAGTCTGACAGTTAAATTCCTAAAACATTTGACACTTGCAATAAAGGGATAAAGGGAAAGTGGCTGAATGCAAAATGAAACAAGTGTTTTTCTATACTTCCTCTTCGGTTCCAGTTAGTGTTCCATTTTGGACTTACATAGTAGTAGAAGCCAGGTTAGTGTCTTCATCCTTTAGTTTCCCATCTAGTGCTATGCCTTTCTTCACTCGATTGTTTGCCAGCAAAGGAAGAACAGTTATTATCTTTGTAAGCTTGCTGTTTGGTTGGACCTTTTCCCTGAAGAAGAAATAATGAATTTTAGATCCATTCTGGAAGAATGAATTTTGGCTGTCCTTTCTCAGTCAATCTTGGCCAAGTCAGAAAAAGTCAAACTACTACTACTGTAAGGACAAAGCAGACCTTATAATTCTGAAGAACAAAATCTTAATGGATCCCAAAAGAAATCAAGAAACCATACAATACTCTACTCACACATAAACTGTACTATACTACACTAAACTATACTACAGTAAAATGTAGTTCATTCATTGGCTTAGCATAATAAATGAATTCAGCCAATGTTTTGTACCTAATATATAACATAGCATTATATATCTATGTATATATGTATGAATCAGTGCATTTTGGCTTATTCAGTGTAATAGTTAAACCATGGGAGTAGATAATACAGGTAGAGCTATCACATCTGGGCTGCAAAAATTCAGATAACCATAAAATGACAGCAAGGAATTAGAGCTTTCTGTATCTTTTTGATGCCATCCCATGGTCAACTGGGCATTTACAGCTGCACCCAGTTATGGTAGCCCCACATATGTGAACCCAGTTAATATAAATTTTTAATTTCTACGTTGCAATAAAAATAACAACAACAACAAAGCAAAGGAGTCTAAAGCACAGTGCACTTACTCTGATTCTTCAAGAGCCACTGTCTTGGTATAGAAGTCACTGGAGTATAATATCACATTAGCAACTTGTTCTACTGAAGAAGGAATGAAATATCAAATAATCAAATAACAGAAAGAAGAATGGGATCTAGAATATTTTTCAGCATTGCCTAATATGAATACAAGGATAATTATTCAGGATCAAGGATATTATGCAGCTGTTGCTTTTTTTTGTGTGGTTCAAACACACCTTTCTTACAGAATGATAAACATTTTCTTTGCAGAATGTGCATAACATCTAGCATTTATATGATATTGGCCGATCTTTTAAAAAAATGAATAGGAAGTCACTAGGAAATCCTAGGTCATCATCAGCAGGATGAAGGCAAATACAAAATATTTTCATATTATTACTAAGTCTACATGAATATGTAGAGTATTTAGTAATTGAGTTGAGCTCAACTCAAGAGATTTTTAAAATGTTTTTAAATGCAATATAAATAGCAGTTCTTATAAATTAGACTCAAGTAGACCAGACTAGGAAACCAAAGTTATAAATGCTAACACTTTTATAGTACAATAACAGAATTTTGCAAGTGTGAATGCATCTCTCTCCTCCCTCCCTTTATCCTCAAGAGAATGAGGGAAGGTCAAGTCTGAGATGCTTTCTCAAATTATATTTCTGCTTCAGACTTGCAACTCTTCTTCCTGTTTTTCAAGATAACTCTTACCACCAATTGCAGAAACTGTTTACATGGATAACATATGGTTATTATAACTCTTTCAATCATGGTGCTTTATTAAACCAATAATAAAGGTGAGGACAGAATTGGAATTGCTATCTAACAGACCAGGAAAAAAACAAGGGCCTACATCAGACTTGTTTGTCAAAATGAGTATTATACCTGACACAGTGATCTTCTTCACCGTTTTTTCTGTATTATTTATCACTGTCACTGTAACAGGAATTGGTTCACCATGATAAAATACCTGGAAGAATTTGATTAGTTTAGCAAAAAGTTCATCACACAGTATTTTTTACATCTAGTTTTGTAAAGTAGGATAGTTTGAAACAAAATGATTGTGTCTTCTCTACAACTCTTGAATTTACTAATTTATCCTATTAGTAATTCAAGAACACCTCACCTCTTTACTGACGCAAGCTTTCAAGTGCAATGGCTTCTTGGATAGGAAAAACTGCCAGGTGGTTTCTGCATGAGGCTGAGGTCCTGCTACTTCTGGAGCATATTGGATTTTGCGTATAAGCAGGCGCACAGAATGTCTAAGGGTAGAAATTGGGTTTAATAGCAATAGCACTTAGACTTATATACCACTTCACAGTGCTTTACAGCCCTCTCTAAACAGTTTACAGAGTCAGCATATTGTCCCCAAGAATCTGGGTCCTCATTTAACCCACTTCGGAAGGATGGAAGGCTGAGGCAACCTTGACATCCAAAATATAAGTAATTAAACTCTATTATTAGTGATTATGAAAGCCACAAAACCCATAAAGATGAAGAAAACAGCATCTGTATAGCAGCACTGATTGACAGCACTTATTGCTGTAGGATCCGTGGTTACAGGACAGCACCCTCTGAGTTTTGTGTGAAGCAACAGCAATGTTGCTGATCATTCTGTTCAACAGGAAATGGGACATACTGACTTCCTTTTTGCTTCTACATTTTCAAGGCTATATCTCGCATACAGTAAAGAAGTTGAGATGGAAAAGATATAGAAAAAAAGAAAATAACAAGGGGAAGAGAACAAGGCATTTTATCCGTATGTTTCCTTTTTACAAATGACATGTTTCATTTTTTTTCATCTCCATCTTCTGAGTCTGATAGTTTAATATAAAATAAGGTCTATCTTGTCTATGTTTCTGAGCTTTTCCAGTTTTGGTTTTTTTCAAAGAAACAAGATATTACTTCTTGAGAATCCTTTCTTCTGGATCGTCTGTAGAAAAAGCTTTGACCTCAAAGTCCACTCCGCAGCACTATACGAAAAAGATGGAGAGACAAACAGTTTAAACAATAAATTATTGTTGTTGAATGTATTAAACATCTGTGTATGAAAGAACTCACATTTTAAAATTCAAAAAATACGCCCATCCAAAATTTCAACATAAAACTCATGCTTAATGTTTTCTTCAATGTATGTATGCATGTATGTATGTATGTATGTATGTATGTATGTATGTATGTTATTTTTCTAATTTTACTTTTTGCATATCTTTTTTAAAAAACTAAACAGAAACTTCTGAAGGCAACCCACTATTTTCCATACATACCTTATTGGTCTGTGATACAGTTGGGAAATACTATTTGAGGATTATTTTCTTGTCATTGTTCAGGAGAACAAGGAAAGGCATAGTTCTCTCATACATACAAACATATTTGCTCACTTACAACAATATTATTTGTTTCTATGGTTTTAAATTATTTTAATAAATACTGGTGTTGTTTTGATCCCAAACCAAACATATGTCTTCTCCTACAAATACAGTAGTGTTTTTAGGGAAGGCTGATCATGTATGTATGTATGTATGTATGTATGTATGTATGTATGTATGTATGTATGTATGTATG